CAGGGATAAAAGGTGTATTGGTCTTTTCTTTGACAGCCAGCCAGTTCCTGGGGAGTGGTGGCTGGTATAGTTGGTGTCATACTATAAAGAGCAACCCTATAGAGGAAATCCTGTATTCGTAAGCTTTTCTCTATTATGCCCAAGGTAACTGTGGCTCGTACCAAAAAATTTAAGCAGTGTCTTCAAACTGTGAGATAGGAATCGACACAGAGCTCTCTACTGCCCGATTGACATCATCACTTGGGAAATCAGGATTTTCATTCCTCTGTTTCTCATTTTCATTTGGTTCAAAATATTTTCTAATCTTCCTCAAGACTTACTCTTTGAGCCACGAATTATTTAGAAATATGTTGTTTCATTTCCAAGTCTCTGGAGATTTTCCTGTGATCTTTTGGTTATTGATTTCTAGTTCAAATTTACTATGGTAAGAAAAGTTATTTTATATATCCAATTGGTTAGTCCTTGTCTTATAACCCCAGATATAATCTGTCTGGGCGACGATTCCAAATGCGAAGGGATACATTCTGCTATTGAGTGGAATGTTCTATAAACATCTATTAGACCTAGTTGGTTGATGTTCAGTTTTTCTGTGTTAATTGCTTTTTTGCCTACTAGTTCTGTCAATTCCTGAGGGAGGAGTAGTGAAAGTTTCAACCTAAATTAGAGACTTTTCGTTCCCCTTTCAGTTCCAACAGATTTTGCCTCACGTACAGGGAAGCTGTGGTGTTGGGTGCATAGAGCTCAGGGTCGCTGCGTCTTCTCGGCCCATTGGCCTTTTAATCTTTATGCAACGCCCGGTGACTTTCTGTGCTCTGAAGCCTACTGTGTCTGGTGTTAATATAGCATCTCCACTACCTTTGATCAGCTGAACAGATGACTTCTCTGCCATTTCAGTATCCTTCACCATAAGTAAATTGTTGGTGAGCACATTAATCAGAACATGCTACAGGTCACTGGCTTGGATTCTTTGTTTTCTTGTGCATAAATGATTTACAGATGGTTGAGCCACTCAGTTCTTAGTAATGTGCCCTTTTGCAAATATTCGTAGACCCATGGACTTCAAACAGAAGTCGGCTGGGTGCTTCTGATTTGGGATAGATGTAGCAGGTTGTGCCAGATCGATGTTTCTACCACAACTACAGAAAAGCCAGGTAAGATTCTCATGAGAAACCACACAAGCCAATAGCCAATGGAGCCATATCACTAGAGTACAGGAAGAAAGGAGTCTGCTTAGATTTCTAATCAAGTAACTATCTACCAAAAATGAAGACAAAACAAACACTTTTCAGAAAAACAAAAATAGCTGAGAGAATTTAGCACATTGCAAAAAACACACACACACAAAAGTTACGGAGACATAATTGTCAACCCTAGAGTTGACAGTAAAATATAAATAATTAAATAAATAAATAAGTTAATATGCCAATAGTATAAAGTGGAATACTAAAAGTATAAAATGGGCTCAGCCAGTGTGGTCAGTGGTTGGGTATCGGCCTAGAATCCAGGAGATCGAAGTTGGATTCCCAGTCAGGACACATGCCTGGGTTTTGGGCTCGATCCCCAGCAGGGGGAGTGCAGGGGGCAGCTGATCAATGACTCTCTCATCATTGATGATTCTCTCTCTGTCTCTCTCTCTCTCTCCCTCCCTCCCCCTTCCTCTCTCTCTAAAATCAATAATTATATATATATATATATATTAAATGTATTGTAACAGGGGCCTGGCAGAGGAAAATAATTTGGGAAAAATTGCCATCTGTTCGCTCAGGCCAAATTTTCCCCAGTTTCCCATAAGTGAATTACCCTATAATTTATCCTGATAGTCTATGGAGATGCCTACTTGTCCTTCGGTCTGAACTTGCCTTCTCATTACGGTGGCCTTTCCACCCGTGCCCACCTTCCCACATGTCTGCATTATGGTTGGACTGTTGCCCTGCTTTGAAAATTCTCACTGAGACTGCTTTCTGGAGGGAGGTTGTGACCGCAGTTCTCTTGGCTGGAGGACGCTGAATCCAAAATTAGCTTTATAAAAAGTTCAAACCCCGATTAGATCACCTGAGTCAACAAGTGAATCAAAAGGTCCAGTACCCAGAATAGAGATAAAAGACTTTTCTCTTACTAAGCTCTTTACTTTCTTACCATTTAAAGATAGTGTTTTTAAAAATTTTTTCTTCTTTTTTTGGTAAAGATAGTGTTTCCTATTTTGAAACCAGCCCCTTTCTTCTGAGGTACAGAAGAGAACATTTACAAATATTGATTCCCTCTGTAAGACACCTCTTTATGATACGACACAGCCAGCCAACCAAGAACAGCTGGAGGTCAATAAAAAAGCAATGTGTCCAAGAGTGACCAACATCGACCCGTTGACCCAGGTCATCTAATCAGGGCTTGAACATTTAAAAAAGCAAATTCTGGATTTTTCTCTGCTTCCCATATCACGTCTTCCCTACTTTTTTTTTTTTAAATCTCAGAAAACAGTACCACATTGCACTTGCTCAAGATAAAACCTAAGAAATGCCCTTGACTAACCTCCCTTCCCTTCCCCAACATCCTCCTGACGCATCATTCGAATGCAATGGGGATGATTTGGGCAATGTCGGAGACAGTTTTGGTTGTCACACTCCAGCGCAGATCGCAACTGGCATCGAGTGGGCAGAAGACAGGGATGCCACTGGCAATTCTCCAGTACCCAGGGCAGCCTCTCCTTCTTCCCGCCCTAACAAGGAATCATCCAGCACAAAACGTCAACAGTGCCACTGTTGAGAAACTCACATCTGGCGTGAGAATAAATAAACCTATTACCATTAAAATTACAAATTCATAATCACTGCAATGTTTTCATCCATCTGGCCCTTTGAATAAATTAGTCTTACTTTCTACTTCAAACACGGCAAGCATTCACTCTCTATACATTTTGCATATCCAAACCAGGCCAGCCTTTCCTGCCTTTTCACAGCAAGAGGAAGGGTGGACTCATCCAAAAGCATCCTGAGTGGCTTGGCTTGGATCGTGCCCGAAGAGGGATTTTGAAGAGACATTAAAATATTTCCACAGCTTACAATGAAAGTTCCATTTCAAGATAGCAGTTTTAAAACAGAAACAGACTCACAGACACAGAGAACAGACTGATGGTTGCCAGAGGGGAGGGGGTTGGGGACTGGGTGAAAAAAGGGAAGGTTGAGAAGTCCAGCTTGGTAGTTACAGACAGTCACGGGGATGGAGAGTACAGCACAGGGAGTGCGGTCAATAACATTGTCATAACTACGGGGGTGCCACGCGGCCCCCTTTTCCGATGGAAAACTGAGACTTAACATGTTTAAATCACCGGCCCACAGACCCACAGCTTAGAAAGTAGCCAAGAATAGCACAGATATAACTCTGCCATTCCTGAGACTTGAGAAAAAAATTCCTACGGCTATTTCATGGAGCTCAGTGTTCTCTTTCTCAACGAATTATCAAGTTCCTTGCCAAGATGACTGCATTTTCTCATAGCTCATGAAGTTCATAGCGTAGGAAGGCATTCCTCATAACTTTCTTTGTGTTTGTGTCTTGGAGCTCTTCCTGAGACTAATTTTGTTTTTTCCTTAATCGACACCTTCAGCTCCTTCAAGGCCAATGTAAAATTATTTCTTACCGCTAAGGCAATTACATTGTGATGGCCTTGAGGCGCAGTGTTTCTGACACCAACTGCGCATAAAATAGAACAAAACACTAAGTTTTGGTGCTTTGCCTTGAGTTGTAACAAAACACATAAAACTCGGAACACTTTTAAAAAATCGCATCTGAGGTACTTAAAACATTAAAACATTCACAGCTGGGTCATTTGAATTTACCACAATAATTGGCTCTGCTTAGGCTGCAAACATCGTTTTTAGCTTTGAGTTTCTGTATCGTTCTAGTTGAAACCACAACAATTAGAAGTTGACTGGGTCGTAGTGTCTATTGCGCTCTTCAGATTTTCTTCCTAAAAGGTAACAAAAACTTCAGATGAAGGAATGTTCTCTGTACCTTCACTGAACCTCAGGCCAGTGTTTAACAGCTGTGTGGTGATGTCTTAAAGTAGGTGGCAGCGGACAGGCTGCTGGGTTTGAATTCTGGGTCTCTGTGACCTGTCACTTTATTTGTATATCTGTATTAGACTTTTATTGCTGCATAACAAATTACCATAAACTCAGTGACTTGTGCAACAATGAAAATAGCAACAACATCAATAAAAACTCATCTGAGTATGACTGTACAAGTACATCGTGTTGATTTTAAGGTGTTTATATAGAGTCGCCAGTTGACTAAATCATAGCATGTACAGACATGGGAAATTAAGACCTATGAAGCTCTAGTGCTCTGCATAAGCGTAGACCTCTACATCGTAAGAACACACAAAATCAGAAATATGTTTCAAAATTATAGGTAACATATGTGTTTTGTCATCAACTTGATTATTTGATGTCTTACTGCAATTATTTATCTTAACAGCCTTCAAATTTCCTTTATAGCCACAACAGGAGGCAAAACACGGATTCTACAGTTTAAATTCTGAAAAATGACAGAAGAGGAAAGTCAGGGAATTAAGAAAAAGCGGATAAAACAACTGAAATACAAAAAGCAAAAACTGTGCTGTTGTGCCATTGACTCACACCCTTTCCCTAAAATCAGCATGGTCTTACTTTGGATTTTAACAAAAAAAGATAAGAAAATATCCAATACTTTAAAGTCCAGAGAAAGAAAATTAAGCAATCTCTGTATCACCCTAAAAGACATAAACAATTCTGTAATAAGTGCATTCTTTGGGTTTGCTACTTATGAAAGGTGGAGTTTGGTTGCTAAAATAGAGGTTGCATGGTCTGGTCTGGCTTCCTTGGCCCCACTGAAAGTGATATTATTGAGAGAAATCATAACACGTTTCAAAACACCTTGTCCATGTCTGAGATAAGGCATCTTGATAGCATGAAATATTATCTTTAAAGAGTCGCTGGCTTAAAGAGCAACGCAGGGTATTTTGGGCTTCAAGGCTCTTCCTAGGGCAGGAGCTTCCACTTCATGGACAGATCAGCTTCCTCGTCAAAATCCTCCAGCTCCTGCTCCTTGGAGAGCTCCAGGAAGACCTGCAACAGAGGAAAACGGAGCTCTGAGTGAGTGCAAGGGGTGTGCATATATTATACATTTATATTCCATGGGTGATACAAAAATCTCTAAAGTGGACCCACCTGCTCCAGCGTGGACTGGGAGAGGCTGTACTCCTCCAGGTCGAAGGTCTGTTTAACTGCACATGGATGGATGGATGTGTGTTAGAAAGTCATTTATTTTGGATCCAGAGAGTTGTACCAAGTCATCTATAAAAAGTACTAAGAGGCCAAGATGAGGAGGCATCGCTCACCTCAGGAAGCTGTGGTCAGAGGCTAAAGATGAGGAGAGAAGGTCTCTTCAAGGAACCCACAAAAGCAGCCCACGAGAGAAAGGGAGTCAGGCCTTGTTGCCATAGTACAGCTCTAACGATCAAATCAAGCTTTGCTTCCATATTACCTCTTCTCCCCTCCCCTTAATCTCTACCCCAGAGAGGCCTAAAACATCAGCTTGTGAGTAGAGGGGAGAACTGGGTAAGAAGAGAGATAAAACTGACCATCCCACCTTCCTAGCTTCAAGTCTCCAAATCAAAGCAAGAAGGGGCCATGGGAGGCTCTGTTTTTTTGCTGGAATTTCCACTACCCAAAAGTGATCTGATTATATATGCAAGAATGAGTCCACATAGCAAGATAAAGGGAATAATTATGGGGCCTGCATTTTGCTTCTATGCTACTGGCCTAGCTCATAATTTCAATACATGTATTGCTGCTGAGAACGTAACTATGGCTAAGTCAACATTTGAGGGGAAAAACTGTAAGCTTAGGATGTTTCAATATTTTGTACTTTGTGTAATCATCACACAAAGGGATAGGAAGCTGAAAAGTTGTTTTTCCCCCCTCTAAATCAGAACTTCGGTTTCAGCAAACTAAGCACATTAGAAAGAATTCGAGGAGGGAGGGGACATTTTTGAAAGCAGAAACATGAGAAGGCTCCGAAGAAAAGGCTCCATTGTATTCTAGGGAGGCAGCCTTCCTGGAACATCTCTCTCTCTGCTTCTGATTAATTATGAAGCCCTTCCTGTTGATCAGGGCCCATCATGGGAATCCTTCCCACTGGAAAATTGCAAAGTTGGTCAAAAGGCCAAAATGGTCAGTGTGGAAAACGGACCCACAGGCCACAGAGTGATGGTCAGAGTCAGAAAGTGAAAAGAAACCCTAGCTGGGGCCATCCTAAGCTTAACTCAAGGGGATGAACCTCTGTAAGAACCAGGATGCCTGGGGCGTCTAATGATCAGTGGCAGGCAAAAAGGTACAAGTCAGGTGGGGAAGGTGTTCAGCTTTGAATCAGATTCCATATGCTGGCGTGGTGGTTGAGAACCACTGGATTAAGAGTTTAATAATTTATTTATGGCGTAATACCACAATTTTATGTTCATGTGTGTACATATTCTACCGGCTTTATGCAAGATCTGAATTTATCTGTTTCCCAGAGTCTTACCTCTAAGCAGTTGCTCTTACCTATCTCTAATTTGAAGAAAGCCTGCGATAAGGGTCGCACGTCCTCAACAGGCAACTTGTAGACCATCAGCGACGAGTACCTGAGGGGAACAGAGTGAGGCTGAACCCTGGGTTTCAAGAGCACAACGTCTTAACAGGAGCAACCGTCTGATAGGTGTGAGGTGGCATCTCATTGTGGTTTTAATGTGCATTTCTTTACAGAACCCAATAAACAAACAAACAAAATTGAAACAGACTCATAGATACAGAGAACATTGCCAGATTTGGGGGAAGTGTTGGGGGGCTGGGTGAAAAAGGCGCAGGGATTAAGAACTACAAATGGGCAATTACAAAATAGTCCCAGGGATGTAAAGTACAGCAGAAGGAACATAGTCAGTAATATTGTAATAACTATATATGGTGCCAGGCGGGTACTGGAAATATGGGGGGGGAACACTTTGTAAAGTATATGATTGTCTGACCAGTATGCTGCACACCTGAAACTAACACAAAATAATACTGAATGTAAACTGCAATTTAAAATAAAATCATGACATTGGAAAAAATAAATGAAAAGAAGCAACAACGTCACCAATAATTTGTTGGCAGGTACACGTCTGTATAGCATTGGAAACAGCCGTAGTGTGAATGCGCTTCCATCAACGAGAAGTTGATTAATTAAAGCAGAAGCGTTATCAGGCTCTGAGGAAAAGGCCCCCTTCCCTCTAGGCTGGGACGGCAGACAAAGGGCGGAAACCGACCCGGTGCGCCCCTCTGGACGGGGGCCGGAAGCGGGTTCCCGACCACCTCTCAGTGGGAAGGCAGTGCTCTTGAGCTGAAAGGACCAGGCTCGCCTCCCGGCCCCACCTCCAGTTCCTGGCACTGTCTAACCGCCCCGGGCCGCGGGTGCCCTTCGTTACCGATACCAATCAAAAGGCGCAGAGACACCACCGGTGCGGTCTGACTGCTGCCTGGGGATCCCGTTTCATGGGGGTGGTCCCGCCCTCCGAAAGGACAACTGAAATGAACTAGGTGCACGTGCCAGTGCCTGGACCTGCCCGTGCGAGAATCAGCTTCCAGTTAGTACTGTGCTCGCTTATTTCCCTCCTGTGGCAATCCTTGGATTTGGGCCTTTCTCTAGTAATTATTCACAATTACCATAAAGTTAAAAAAAAAGAATGAGACGATAAAGCGTTTCTTTTCCATCGCCGTAATAGAAAACAAAGCAGAGACGGGGCTGAAGGAGCACCACCTGTTTACCTCTCCTGCCGGGCGGCCTGGGGGAACAGCCGCAGGATCTCGCCGTGCAGGGCCTCCACCTGGGCCAGCGTCTTCACCTTCATCTCCAGCAGGTAGTCTTTGCCAAATCTGCTCTTCAGGTGCTGGATGGAACCGATGCATCTGGAGGGGAGGAGGCAGGAGGCAGGTTCCAATCAAGAAAAGGGGGGGAGAAATCTACTACTGGTGATTTTTGGCCTCTGGAGGCCGGGGCAGGGTCAGGTAGAGCTGGAGCAGCCAGCCCCTCCTGCTCCTCCCAGTGACACCGTGGGCAGGGAAAATGTCCTTTGTTCAGGGGGATGGGCACCCACCTCAGCCTTCCCGACACCATGATGGCCACGCGGTCACACACGGCCTCCGCCTCCGCCATGTAGTGGGTGGTCAGGAGGGCGCCCCTCCCCGTGTTTCTAAAGGTGGCCCGGATCGCCTGCCTGAAGTTAGGTCAGGGAAATGTTAACCAGGGGGAATGCCAAGGTAATATGAAAAGAAAATTTACAGAGGTTTCCATTGGCACATATGAAATAATCAGTGAATTCAGGTTAGACAGAGAAAGGATTTTTTTTGCAGGGATAACAGGCATGGAAATAAGCAAGCTACTGGTTAGAGTGTGTAATTCAGAGCATGGCGTGGGCTGAATGTAGAAGATGATATTGGGTAAAAGGTTTAGAAAAATGCTAAATTTCAAGAATATTTATGAGAAGGCGCTAGGAAAAACAATAGGAAAAGAGAACTTATTTAAAAGCCTGGTAATAATGGCGTATACCCAAAAGTGCAAAATGACAGACTATTCCTAAAATAATTGAAGAACATATTTTGGAGATGGAATTATTGTGTCCCAATAGAATTGTGTATCCGGTGATGTCGCAGAAAGATTTAAAACTTAGTGTAGGTTGATCTAATTGAGTCCACAGACGGGCCATGCCCACCCAGACGATCTACGGTGAGAACGAAACTCTCAGCGTATTAGTTTGTTAGAATATCTTTTCCCCTCCACAGAGACTGGCCGCGATGTGTTATCAGATTCTATCCCATGGTATCGCTTTTCCTGATGATGTTGATGTCTTTCATTTTCTAAGAAAAGCAATTCCACTTTGGGTTGCTCATGACATCTCCTCACCACATCTGCTGCTGCCCCTCGGGGTCCATGCCCGTGGACGGCTCGTCCAGCAGCACCACTGACGGGTCTCCCAGGATGCTCAGCGCGAAGCACAGCTGGAAGGGGAGGAACAGCGCGTCGGGCACCGACCTGCGGGCTGCGCAGAGGAAGCCCGAGCCCCGCCCCTACCTTTCTCTTGATTCCCTGGGACAAGGCCTTCACGGGCCGCTTCTGCTGGTCCTGCAGCTTGAGCGCCTCCACCAGCCTGAAGGAAACAGAGGGTCAATCAACATCACCCCTGCGCACTGGGGAACGCGGGCGGTAGAGCGGAGGAATCAGAAGACTGCAGTGCAGAATTAAAAAAAAATATATTCGGAGTAGTCATAAAATTGAAACTATAGATTGTCTAACCACTGTGCTGTACGCCTGAAACAAACATAAAATAATACTGAAGGTCAATTATAATGGAAAAATAAAAATTAAAAAAAATTGAAATTATCTAGGATACTTTATAAAACCTTTCATGGTTTTTATTTTTATTTTTTTTAGAGAGAAAGAGGGAGAGGGAGACAGAGAGAGAGATGCTGCCTTCCACACACTCTGGACAGGGCATCGGACCCAGGTATGTGCCCTGACCAGACCGAAATCAAACCGCGACTCTTTGGAGCATGGGAGGACACTCCAACCAACTGAGCCACATGGGCCAGGGCCTTCCTGTGGATTTAAACTCACATTTTCAGTGACTTAGTTTTGTATTAAGAATAATCAATAAACTCCTCACCTCCAGGCTTAAATGAGAGAACACAACACTGGCTCGGGGGCCAGATGCCCAAGTCATCTCCGCAAGCATGGAGCTGTCAGGTAGAACCGCCCTTCCTCAATTTTGGGTGAAGCTATCGCATCGCCATAAAGATTTTAATTCCATTCCATGATATCCAAATAGCTATCCTATGATAGCTTATAATTAAATTTTAGTATTTTTGATAAGTTTACCAGTGAGTACTGTTTTCTTTCCATATTTAAGAGGAGAAAATAAAATAACACGTTGAAACCGGGGAGGCCAGTTTCTCATTGTAAATCTCCCCAGTGTGGCCTNCAAATAGCTGTCCTATGAAAGCTTATACTTAAATTTTAGTATTTTTGATAAATTTATCAATGTGGCCCGGGTCAGCGTTGACCGTCTCCCGGGAAGCCCTGAGTTTCCCATGAAGATTGTCACTCCCAACTGTCTCCCTGGACCCCTCGGGTAGAGGACGGGTGTGTCTCCCCGCCATGTACCGTGTGATGGCGACCTTGGCGTCCGCTTTCCTCAGCCCCTTCACCGCGGCGAACACCTCCAGGTGCTCCCTGAGCGTCAGGCTGGGCCACAGCGCGTTCTCCTGAGGGCAGTACCCCAGGAACCCCAGGGGCTCCCCTCCGTCTCTCCCTTTCAAAATCACCTAGGCAAAAGAGTGCATTCTCACCTTCTGTCCCAAATCGTGTGTGTGTGTGTGTGTGTGTGTATGCCCGTGTGTGCCCACGTGTGTGTATATTTCAGCGACGTCTTCCTCTCACACACACAGCTGCCAAGAGTACAAAAGTCCGTAAGTAACCACTTAGCTCTGGGGAAAAGATGATAGAAACTCAATCTATCAAAAGGCAGATCTTCCACAGTGTCCTATCCCTCCGTTTTAATTGGCTTTATTTCCAAGTCCATCACCCCCGTTGAATTCAAGTTTGCTCCTGTGGTTGTCCACTGTGTGACTCTGGACCTCTGTCCGTCACTTCACCCAGCTTCGCCTGGATGTACAGCCAAGCGTTATTCATACACTCTTCTCATTTTTGTTTTAGAATTTAGATAGCTGCTCATTTCTCCTCTAACTTCTGATCTCTGTTTTCTGAATAAACCCTGGATCTTGGCAATTCAATTCAACAAGTTCTCAGGATATGTCTGTCCACAAAACAAAGATCTCTGACCTCCAGTAAAGCTAAGGTTTGGTTTTCCTTCCCCAAATATTTCCTTTTAATGTCTCTGTCTTTCATTCAGTAAAAGGCATAGTTAGATAACATGCAGCCCTTTTCAGCACCTAACTATTTTTGGAATTAAGGAGATAAATTTTTATGAATCTTCTTCATTCAATGTATAAATCACATTGATTAATAGGAAAAGATCGTCATCAATATGTATTGTAAAACGTCTCATCTAGCAGCACTAATGACCACATTTCTGGGTGTGTCACTGACCTGACCTGCAGTTGGTTTTGATTCTCCAGTGATCATCTTAATAGTTGTGCTTTTACCAGCTCCATTGTGTCCTAACAGACCTATGACTTCACCTGAAAAAGAAAAGGTATGCTCAGAATCATAACCACGAGTAATTATAAAAAATAAAAGCAAATACCACTTAAGGGCTCACATGTGTCAAGCTTTATGTCAAATGCACTAGGTACATGATTTCACTTATTCCCCCCCCGCCCAAACCTGAGTGTTCTTCTCACCTTCATTTTACAGGCGAGGAAACTAAGGCGTAAAGAGAACCAATAACTTGTCCAAGGTCATGCAGCTGAGCTAAGAAGCNAGGAAACTAAGGCGTAAAGAGAACCAATAACTTGTCCAAGGTCATGCAGCCCATGCCTAAGAAGTNCCCCCCCCGCCCAAACCTGAGTGTTCTTCTCACCTTCATTTTACAGGCGAGGAAACTAAGGCGTAAAGAGAACCAATAACTTGTCCAAGGTCATGCAGCTGAGCTAAGAAGCTGAGCTAGAATTAAAACAAATTTTGATGCCCATGCCTGTTGCATCTCATGGGCACTTTCGCAGAATGTGCCATTTGTTAGGAATGAAGAGAGAGCTGCTAGGCCTCGGGGAGTCCCCTTCTGCGTAGCATTCCCTGTTGTGAAATTAGTTTTACTACTTAGAAAGCTATCCCGTCCTTCTTAACATAAACTCTGCCTCCTTTTGGTTGTCCTCCTGTTTGTTTTAACAGAACAGGGGTAGCCGTCTTCTACGCAAAGCACACCCTGTTATAACCGGCTCTCGAGCAGGGCGGCCCAGCGTTAGACAGCTGCTGGGTCGCTGCCCTGCATGTTCTTCAGCGGATGGCTGGGCTTCGCCCCTTCAAAAGGCCCCATCTTCAGGGGCAAAGGTCCCCTGCTAACAGAACGACTGTTTCCAACCTTTTCTGACGCAGAAAGACACGTTTCTCGTGGCCAGTTTCTTCTTCCTCTTGGCAAAGCAGTGTTTCCTTTTGCCGACGTACTCCTTCCGTAGACAGCTGGCCACGATGGCTGGGCTCTGGAAAGGCAGGTGAGATGGGTGAGCGCCCCACGCTCCCTCTGGGCAAGTCTTTCCTGTGCAAAGTCGTGAACCCAGCCCGCTCTCCTCGAAACCGCCACTCCGGAGCAAACTCTCCCAGCCTATTCCTGCAGCGAAAGGACGCTCGCGCTGTGCCATCTGACTCGTGCGCCCTTTCTCGGAAACCGGGGGCAGAGGCAGGTCTGCGGAGACACACGGACGGGCACGCACACACGCCCACACACGCACACACACATTTACCCCGGGTGGGCTCTCTCCTCTGAATTGCTTTGCTCACAAAATCTTTTCTAGGTTTTCTACTGGCCTCGCCCACCAAAGCCGTGGCTGCAAATGTTAACGCACGGGTGTTCCCCTGTTTCTGCTGGCACTGCATAGTTACTGAAGTCAAGCCATGAGCTACACGTGCGGGGATGAAAGAGCCGCACAGTATTTTTTAAAAAGTTCCAGTGAGATAGTTGGCCACTTTACAGACAGTATTATCTGCTGGCCAGCACGTCCCACCTCCGCCTGCTGGGAGCGCAGGCCGGCCGCGGCGCTCGCTGCCCTCGCCCTTTCCGCCTGGACGTCCGCGTCTTCTCCTTCGGGCTCCTCTGGGTTGGGCAGGGCTTCGCCGCTGCTCGGGGAAGTTCTGAAACCAGAGCAGAGTTCCAGTTGAACAGCCTGTAGCGGAAATAGTGAGTTTTCCACAAACGGCTATCGATCTGTGAACGGCGCCCCGACAGGGCTACAGGGATCTAGGGGCTGTCATTTTGACGCGGGTATTCTGGAATTCGGGAGGCTTCGTGAGAATGGCCGGAACATTTGGAATCAGGGGTGTGTCCCAGAAATTCTGAGCTACGGGATCACCAGCTTCTGAGCACCGTCACGTCTTGGGAACACGTGTCAGAGTCACTCTTTCCTGACTGCCACCAGTCTAACCCTTTCCTTCGTCATCCCCACCACTGATTCCCGCCGATTCCCGTCTCTCTCCCTCGTGTCGTCCCAAGTGGCTGCTGCCAGCCAACTTCCTAAAACGCGGTTGTCGTCCTGTCCCTCTCCTGCTCTACCGCCTTCATTAGACTTGAGCTTGATTCATATTTGGTGAGCTAGGCAAGGTTTTCAAAACACGCCTGTTTCCCATTGGATTATCTGTAAAACCTTCCCTGTGGTTTCCTATTCCAAGACACTCCAATATCTAGCTTTGTTTTAATTTTTTATTAACCTCCAACACAAGGCTTCAAGTTTGTTCCAGCTGCCTTCTCGAACCTATAGGATCGTGGCATTTATTCTGCTTTTTGTCCTTTTGTTCAGACGACTCTTCCTTCCTGGACCGGCTACACTTATTTCATTGCTTGTCTATGCTTAGTCGTTGTTCTGAAGCACTGCTTCTTGTCTATGACTTTCTTCTAGTATGTCAGTGAAATGATAGTCGGCCTTAATTTTTCAGTGTCTTATGTGTGCTAATGAGGCTTCTCTCGCTAGACTGTAAATTCATTAAAGTCCCAAGAATTATAATTTTGTATCGACACAGTCCCTTAAATACAATTCTGTACAGTGTGTTTTAACTTAATCCTATTAAAATGTCTTTAACAATGAATAGTAAAATAAAACATGAATTCTCTCAACCTGAATACAGGATCCTTTCTCATCAATTTGTTTCTGAAGTTCACTTCCAGACACCGCAGGATGAAAACGAAAAGGAAAAATTGGAAGTAAGGCTGCGGGAGACAAAAAAAAAAAGATAATAAAAATTGGCATCACCATGAAAACAACAGTTTCAGTATTGGAATTGACTTAAGGAGTTTGATCATCTATAAAGGTAGATTTGATAACATTTTCACAAGGTTGAAAAAATTTGTCCTTGTCCTTGATATTTTATGAAACTCTCAGAGCTGGGGTCGCTGGTCTTCAGAGCGATCATGAGAGAAACAGTGGTAGGGAGCTGATCCTAACTCTATTCATGCCATTGAGAGCCTGCGCTTCAGACTCGGTGTCGGATCATTGCTGTGAAGTTAGTGATCCAGAATGGGAAGCCTCTGTTGGTGTGTGTGTCTGGGTGTGTGTTCAGATGCCTAAACTGACAAGTTTTTAAGCACCAAAATGAAAATTAATGAACACAAAGCATACAAAAATGTGTTCCCCCTCGTGCAAGAACACTTAAATGGAAATGCCTCCTTACTATTAGCAATGCCAGGTATACAAGATGGGACTCTAAGTCTCCTAAATATTCCACAGAGTCAGGAGAAATCTGTAAAATGAGAATAAAAAGCATGTTTAGATGAACTTTTGTCTATGCATGAATCTCATCTCACTTAAGATGATTGATTAATGCCCATTACATGACCCTGCCAGCCTTCTATGGAATTCTTGCTTATGCGTCAGGTAAAAAGTCCATGTCTGACTGTGCAGTGTGTGCTCCTTGCTGCCGATGTCACTCGGTGACCTGTGGACCTGTGCTTGGCTACAGGCTCAGACGCTTTTATCCTGAACACTGTGAGTTAGCAGGATTCGCCCTGCTAGGAGAACCTCGGTAGTGCTGACACACATCCTGATTTGTTGATACTCTAAGTGTTTAAGGACTTTCGAGAAGGAATTCTGGGACACAACAATCCCCCACTTTCGTTTCTCTTACCTCGCAGGATCCTTCTCAAACTTATCTATTGATTCCTCCTCTTCCTGATCTTTAAATTCTGGAGTTCAAGGCCAAGCCCATAGGCTGTCTTTTCATTCTAACAATGCTTACTCTGTAGCTTTAAATATTACTTACATGCTGACAAATCTCAAGTATTTAGCTTTAAGTCCCCCAAATCCACAAAACCCTACATACTGAATTTCAGACTCATGTATCTAACTGGCTACTTGCTATTTCCCATTGCATGTCTGTGAGGATCCATCAACCCAACATGTCCAAAATAACAGCAAAAGGGCATCTCATCGGCCTCTCAGGAGGGTCATTTGTCCCCAGGAGTGAGGGTTATCATGAGAACTATGAAATTCTACCACTGTGGAGCTGCCTTTGACCTTCATAACGCAAGGCAGGCTTTCCTATTGAATGATTCTGCCTGCAGTAAGTGAAGTGGCTTCCAGAAGATAGGGGCCTCACACCTTGTACAGCCAAAGACTCTACCTACATTCTTACAATATTCAAGGCGGTCCTCAATGGCCACACATTTCATGACCTTAGGACAAAAGTGAGATTCTTACCTTCACAAAAATGAACAGAGAGCCAATCATTGTGAATGGAGGTATCAATATGGTGCATATTAACAGCCCTAGAAATCCATAATTAGTTGCCTCAATAAAAAATGTCGAGAAGATGGTGACCTGAAATAAAATCACAGTAGAGTTTCACAAAAGCACGACAATCTGAGCTTTTGGATATTTTTTTCAAGAGAGTGCACATTCATTTTTAAATATTCTTATTTTCATTTCCATCTCACTCCCTGAGCCACTACCACCATCTTATTTTTTTTCTCCGCAACACAGAATTCTGTATTGGATTGTCACAATTCTGTACCGGATCAAGTACGAAGCTTTTAAGACACAACAGGGCTTCTCAAATTCAATGTACATACAAACCAGTGAGGGCTCTTGCTAAACTCAGATTCTGACAAAGGGTCCATTTATCATGCGCCACTCTGCATTTTGCATTTTTCCATTTCCCAGTAGATCAGAGACACCCTTTTAGTTTTCGGCTTACCAGCTATTCATTTTCAGCTGCGTAGTATTTCTCTGAATGGATGTGCAAGAATTCAACAATTTGGCCTTTAAAAATGTTTCAATTTCTCTGCTCCCAGAAGTGCTGGTCTGCATAAGTTTTTGTATATTGACACTTGTAGTCTTTAAGGAGGGATTCTGAGAAGGGCGGTTACAGGTTACCGTTTACGTGCACTTGACTCTTCAGTAGTTACTAACGGATGGTGCTTCTGAAGGGCGGCGGCAGAGCTCTCCCACGGACCGTGGGTGAGACACACAGGACGCCGCCCCCCAAGACAGGCGTCACCATGGCTGGGGGTGTCTCCGTGTTACTGCTGATGTTGGGTGAATACCTGTGCCATTTTATAGTGTAATATACCATTGGTTTTTCGTACTTTGACTTTTTTGTATTTATATTTTCTTTTTATTGAGCTCTTTTTTGTATTTTCTTGACTCAGACAGTCTTCTCTTTCGGTTTGGCAGCTGCTGCTCCTGAGCCATCGGGTATGCCGAGGCCAGTCACGCCTGATGACTTAGTTTTACTCTTTTAATTGACCTCTGGGTTTGCCTGGCCATTTTTCATTTAGAGAGCTGTCCTTGATTTTTCCGACTAGATTCATCAGGGGTTTTCCTTTCTACTGTACCCTTCTCAGGATTTGTTATTAACCTTATGCTTGCTTTACATCTAACTTTGTGGGTTTTCTACATAAATATGTCCTGACCACGGTTCCCAAAGTTATGTCATATTCCCACGCACTTAATAGAATTCAGTGGTCGCTAGCCGGGTGCTTTTATGGCAATTTTTATTTTCTTGAGTTCTTTATTTTGACTTATTTCTTGGTTGAATGGGTTTCATCTCTAAGGGGTTCATCTTTCTCCCCAGCATTACTGAGATGTAACTGACGCATAACGTGTAAGCTTAAGATGTACACTGGGGTCATTTGATACATCTGTACAGATTGTGAAATTATTACCGAAATAACATCAGTTAGTACATCCTTCGCCTCACACACTTCCTTTTTTGTTGTTGTTGCTGTTGTTATAGTGAGAACATTTAAACTCTACTCTCTTAGCAACTTTCAAATATATAATGCGGGGCTGTTAGCTGTAATCATCACACTGCACATTAGAGGCCCGGCACTTACTCATCTTATGACTGGAAGTTTGTCCTTTGACTGACACTTCCCCCGCCCTCAGCCCTGGTAAACAGGCATTTTACTCTGTTTCTATGAGTTTCTACATGACTCCACTTAATTATTAAGTTCAGAAACGGGATAAACTGACCTATGGTGTGCTTTTCCATACGCAGGTTACACTTTGGGATATAAATGTATTTGAAAAGGACCAGGTCAGTTACGGTGTGAAGAAGAATTTACAGGAGGCAAGAGTAGCGGGGGGCCCGCTGCAGACCCGCCGCCTTCCTCCGCGGAGGGGCGCCGGGCGCTAAGGCCGCGGCTGGGCGGTGACCCCGAGACACGCCGCACAGGCCCGAGAGGTGCTGAGCCGGAGGACACAGAAACGGACTGCGTGTGGGGAGAAACAAAGACGTGGGGGTCAAAGGTCAGGCTAGGTTCCTGGTATGAGCAATCATATGCGTGGACCGCACTGTAGTAAAGTCATAGCCTAGGAGACAAAGAAGACTAGGACGGAGGAAAGGGTTATAGTTTAGATACGTGATCCTCAAGGTGTGTTTTAAACATTCAGTGAAACTATAAGTGAACTATTGGAGGTAGCCGTCCCTAGCTCTGGGGATAGGTTACGCCTGGAGACATGTTTGAGGTCAGAGTTTATAAAAGGTGTACACCCTCACACATAGTATATTTTATATGATTATCTTAGAGTAATTAGAATTTCCTAGAGAGCAATATTAATTTACCAATCTGCTGATTATAAAGATTAAAATACACGTTCTTAAAAATTACATAAAGTGGTTTAAAAATGAAAGACTGTACTGTATGCAAACTTACAATCAAGAAGAGAAATGACCAGAGGCCACTGTTTTTCTTCCCATTGCGAAAAATGAATGCAATCACATATGTGAAGAAAATAAGGGATGTCATGTACCCAATACTACACAGGATCTGGAAAGAGAATATTAAGGCTGAAATAGGAAAATGCAATCTAGGAAAGTGCTCATACTTACACCTCAACTTTCCAAACTATGCGACAGCAACAGCAATGTGACGTTCTTTGGTTTAAGATGGCTAATGTTACAGCATTCATTAAAATAATCTAATAAAGTCATTTCCTAACTTTTTGCTGCTTACCTGAACTAGCAGGTTTTGGATTATGAATATGATTTCATCTGGGCTAAAAATGTAATCTATTATTTGCATCACAAGGAGGAAGGAGAAGTACAGTGGGACATCCACCAACGCCTGCCCAAACCAGTAAGCAGAAGGGTAGAGGCCCGAAATCCATAGCTGGGAGTGAGCTTTTTTCTGGTTAAAAAAAAAAAAAGAGAGAGAGAGAGTCATCAAAAGGTCCTGAATAGTCAAGGCTGAGAAATTACAAATACATGGTCACAAACATTCTCTCTATGTCTCTTCTACCTATTAGGCTGATTTAGGACATGAGTTTCACTTTGTTAACTCTTCTTACCTTATAGTCACCGATGCTGCCCATCGCAATGTAAGGGGTAAAACAGGCCGCCACAGGGATCCAGATGAAGGCATAGGTCATGTGCCCATAGTCCTCTAAACTGGGCTCCTGAAATCATGCAGAACACATGGGTTCATGGCAACTGGGTATATAGTTCCTTTATACTTTTTTAACTACGTCACTCAATCAGTCAATCGATCTGACCACAAAAAGTACTTCCCAAGGTTCTCTCTGCAACGTCTTCCACACATTCATTTTCAATCACGAGTTGCAACAATGTGGAGACTTTGAACATGCATCCTGATATGCTTAGGAGGAAGCAAATTCCACCAGGCTGTAGGAATTGGCTAAGGTCCCACGGTTAATGTGTGCAAGGTAAACACAAAACTTCTGCAGAAATTCTGCTCTGCAACAAGGGGTGTGTCTTTGTCTACAGAAGGGGCTGGGACCAAAGCTAAACACTAGCCTCCAAAAGCACGCAGGCCACTGAGGCCGTGACGGCCACCTGAGTAGAAGGTGCTAGTAGCAGATCAAGGTAGAGAAAGCAGGGATGTCGCCACAGCACCCTTTCTTTCCATTTGGATCGCTCTCTCCTTCCTTTCTGCTCCCACCCCATAGCATTCTTCTCAGAAGCGAGAAGAAAGGGGCATGTTCCACAGCAAAGCCACACTCTCCTTTCTTCTCGAAGGCATTAAACTATAAAGAATGAAAGAACAAATCAGGCCACCGCCACCACCCCAGTCCACGTCCCTTCAGCCACAAATTGACCCTGCAGTGTTTGGATTAGATAGGAAATGGAAGCTTTGGACGGTCCTGGAATGGTACTAGGATAGGATAGGATAGGCCCAAGTNTAGGATAGGATAGGATAGGATAGGATAGGATAGGATAGGATAGGATAGGCCCAAGGTGTCATTAAAGAAGGCAAAGGGAGATTCAACGAAGTGAGATGAAAGAGATGACTTGAAGGCATAGATTTACACCTCCCTCCCCACTGTGGATATTCTGACTCAGAGGATCTCAGCAGAAAAATCATATTTTAAACAAGATCTGCCTCTAGTTCTAATTCAGCCAGTTCTCCACTTACCCAAAACTGAATGTTGTTTAATGGAAACTTAGTGCATTTCCAAGAAAAGCAATGTTAACAGCCATAGTGATAGTGATAATAAATGCCTTTTATTGAGCACCTATGGTTTCCTACTTTTACGTGTTTTATCGCTCATGTTTATAATAACTTGGCCAACTGAATCGGTTTTTCACATTGCCTCATTTACTTCTTAAGAAACCCCTGTGATGAACTTTTTATGTGTATTTTTGTGTGGATCAGTGAACCATGGCCTACAGAAGTCAAATTGTTAAGGAGGCCCCACTGTCTACCTTGATGACTGGCTGTTTCAACCAGGTCCCACCACTTAGCCCCACAGATGGTAACAGATCTGAAACCAAAAGTCATTTCTTTTTCCCCGATTAATTGAATTTCCTGCTGTTCCATTGACCCTAAGTCATCCAATTAAGTTTATAATGTTATGTAATTATTGCTAAATATTGTATGTGTGTATACATGTGTATGTATGTATGTACATAGTAACTTATATGAAACATAAACTTAGTCAAGAATAAGTTCATAAAAATTAACATGATGTTATTTTAGCATTTTAAGTATGTTTTTGAAAAATTCTATGGTTCAGGGTAAGCGAGGTATATTATACTTACGTCAAAATATGTGCTTCTGTCTGTCTGGATGTGCTCTGAAGAATTAAAAACTCTAAGCAGCGCGTTGCTGATGATGTCCATGAGGACAGGGAAGCAATTCAGCCTTCTGGTATTGCACGCTACTGAAAATCTCGGATTCTGAAATAAAACAAATATGCATTTGGAGGCCTCCGAAAGCCAATACAAAATCTAATGCAAGACTATGATAGGAAATCGTTCAAATTATTGACAACACAGTAAGGCCAAAGCACTGAATCCAACGAATGCCGCCATTGCTAATATTTGACGAAGTCCCAATATGCTGCAGGAAATCCAGTATCGTGCGTGGTCTTCACTGGCCACCACTCCAGCCGTGTGGCTGTTCGTGCCTGCACGCTCACAAAACAAAATATCTCACTTGATTTTTAGCAGCAACCCTGTGAAACTCTGTAGTGCAACCTTACTTTCGCGGGGCGGTAGATTTTGTTTCAAAATGTGATGCATTCGTTTTACAACTGAAGAAGGGGTGCACATGTGGAGAGCAGGAGGCAGGCAGCTTCGTAAGAGAGCATAGGTTTTCCCAGACACTGAGCTCGCGATCGCAACGTTGCAAGGAAAATCTCTTTTCAGACGACATTTTAAAATCGTTTCACAATATTGCCATTATGCTGTACAGCTTGAACTCATACAATGCTGTATGTGAATTATATCTCAGTAAAACTTGGGAAAACACACACTAAAAATGGACATTATATAAATGTAAACTATTGCTGGGGGGGAGGATGGAGGTGGGAGAAGGCAGAGAGGGGATAAATGGTAACGGAAAAAATAAAAAATATATATATATCTTAAAGACATGATTATTTTTATCCCAAATAAAAAGAATGTAAGTAAATTATTATCTATTTTGGCCAAAAAGGGAAGCTAGCTTTGAGCACGCATTTTCACAGTCATAAATAAATCAAGTGAACTGTGTCTATCCTGTTCATTAAAGCGCTGTTTATCGACGTTAGGGGTGCCATTTTAAAAACGATTTTTCTGAGTGTACTGGAAACAAACCTGACCAAGACCTATCAAGGACTGCTTCGATCAAAGGCAGTTTCCGATTTTATTTTTGGCTTGGAAATCACGTCTAAAAATGAACTAAAAAGCTGCCAGTGGTGGAGCCCTGTGACGGTAACTGCCGAGCCGCACATCTGCCACGGTCTGCTCGCCTCCCCCGCTCGCCTGCGCGGGGTCTCGGCCCCCCTGCGGGGCCAGGCGGGCGGCACAGGTGTGAAGCAGCCGGGCAGGCAGCGAACGGCAAGGCGAAGGCTCGGGCTCGCTTGGGCCGCCGTTTCTCTGTTCCACCCGGACGGCCAGGCGGTCACATGAAGGAATTTTTTAAGAGAAGGGAGAAATTTACATTTATATGCGAAACACACCCATCTTAAATACTGCCAAGTAAGGCGGCTCTTCTCCAACTTTAATGAACACACCGATCCTCTACAGATATTATTAAAACACAGATTCTAACTCAGGCCTGAAGCAGGGCATGGGCTTCTGCATTTCTAACAAGCTCCCAGGCGATCCAATGATCCTGATTCATGAACCACGCACTTCAAGTCGCAGGAAACTAAGTTTGTTTTTTTTTTGTTAACATCAGAGAGATGAGCATAAATATTTATCTAAAGATTTGACCCCTTTCAGTAAAGCATAGCAGGTAGGACTGGAGTTTCCCCCTCCTATAAAAACCACACAGAATTCTACTGTAAAACAAGCAAACAAACAAACAAAAGCTAATATTTCTTTTTGGTTGCGGAACTGAAGTTCACAATAGGTATCAATCTGACCGATGTTTGGAGGATTCACCAAAATGTCATTTGACTGATGTTCGTTTGGGAAGATTTATATTAATGACTGAAATGGAACATGAGTTAATAAGACCTAAGCTCATTGTTAATTAAAGCCGGGCACACAGTGCGGTCGGGAACGAACTGAAACAGCATTTCCCCGTGTGCCACGTGGAGGCCCTGGCGGTCACCGCGGCCAGCCCCTGCGGGGGGCGCGGCCGTCGGGGCCCCGCGTACCTTGTCGTCCCCGGACACCGTGATGGCCCCGTTGTATGACGGCTCGTCGGGGCCGTGTCGAGCTCCAAAAGCATCCACTTCCAGAGCGATGTTCTGCTGCCTCAGTGCCTGTATGAAGCTTTCAATGCTTGACCCTGCCCAGAAGGTAAAGAGCAAAAGAAGCAGAAACGCAGAAAAACAACACAAATAATATTAAAACCACAACAGCTGGAGAACGGCCCTCGAACATTCCCAGCGTAAGGGTTAAGGATTTCCTTAAGAAGGCAGAAGTGATGCTGTGGCACTAAAACCCGCCGTGATACCAGGGATAGGACAAGGCGACTTTCCCCAGACGCTAGGCGTTTTACTTGTAATGTTGTTGGTGCAAAGACAGGCGTAACCCACAGACACAGACACTGAGATGCTGGCCCGAGGCA